TGTATAAAAAAAAAAAAAAAAAAGAATGAATACTCCTAGAAATGGAAGCAAACATCTTTAATTATTATGGTATAAGGTATGTAACAATGTAAATTTATATTGATTATTCATATGCTATTTATATTAAATTTTAAAACTAATTGGAAAAAGATATTAATTATTGCTTATAAATTCATTTACTGCTTTGACTTCGAATCAGATAACCCACATCTTTTTTTCTGTACCAGAAACATGTGCATGTTTCGTGCCCTGTATTTTTCACTGTGATGCGCAGAATGCAGCCTTAAACACTTAAGCCAGGAGGGTGGTTGGTAGTTTTCCCAGATTAATTTTGGAGTTGAACTACTCCTAAACTTAGGCTCTTCCTGACATGGATGGAATTACTGTAAATGGTTCTTATATCTAGAATCACCTCCTCCAAAATGTGTGTACAATCCTGGCTTTCAGCATTGTTCTACTTAGACTTCAAATAGACTTCAGTACCATTTTTGTACTACAGTTTGATAATGTCAAATCACAGCCCAACATAGGTACTATCAAAAAATAAGAAAGGTAAGCTAAATAATGTTAGTTTATTTTCATAAAGTTTGAAGTCTGAGAACATTTTTAGAATTTGGTTTTCAATGGCATAGTTTTAGAGAATAAATTTTAGGGTATCATCTTCATTTCTGGAAACTGATCGCAACGTAGGAAAGTAGATGAAATTATTCCTTTACAAATGAACTTGCCAAAAAGTTAACTTTATCAGGACTGAGAGAAGTTCACAAATGAAACATTTGTGCAATACTTGTGACTGTACCTATAGAAAAATTGTCAAAAGATACAGATAAGTGGTAGAGTCAGCCACTGCTAAGCAGAGATAGGGCTATCCCCTGTGATTACATTAACAGTTAAAAAAATCTCTTCTGCACCACAGTGCAAGTAAGCCAGCAAATTCATTAAGCAAATGTTGACCTGATTTTGCTCAAAGACATAGAAGAATAGTCAATTTGTGGTATTAGTTACTGAATCCATGGCTTCTCCCATTTTAGCTTTGTGCCCAAAGGAATTTCTGATGAATGAGGAAATTAATGGACTTAGGGATAGTGTCCCTACAAAATAGTGCCACCTATGGGCTGTTGCTTGACAGGCCTGACATTAACTCCACCCATCCTGAGAGCTCCATCTGTAGTAACACCTGGTGACTTTGACCAATGCATTCTACATCCAAATGGTCTGAGACCTTTTTCATAACATAGAGTCAGCCATTTCCTGATGTTTTGCCTTTCATGGGCTCCTAATTCTGAAGTTCCTTGACCTATTCAGAATTCTCACCACACCACAAATAAATATAGTTAACAGTGTGCTATTCTTTATATCTGTGTTCTCATTTGCCTCAAGAGAAAATGCCATCCATAAATTAACTTGTCCTGACAGTTCTCAATCTTATTTTTAACCTACCAAGCTACAAAGTTGCTCGTTAGACACATAATTTCTGCAGCATTCAAAAGAGACTCTTATAAACTGTGCTGTCTGTAAAAAGGTTTTGATGCCCAGGCAATTTTTTCACTTAATAAAGAACTGTATTTCACAGCAGCTCACTTATTCTCGTTCAAAAACAAATGCTGCTATTTCTTCAGTCCATTAAATTTTCCAACACCCATCTTTTCTGTGTAGCAGTCAAGGCCGACATAGTTTTTTATGGTGCCTTAAGATGTAATTTTTCTTTGCAAACATTCTTTGGTTGGATACTCTTCCCATCCCCCCCCCCCAAAAAAAGGTATGCTCCTATTTTTTTCTTATAATAATTGTTTTTTAGGAGATGTACAAGTTCATTTTCCTCTTCTTTTTACAGTAAGAAAAATATCAGTAAACACATGGTGGTAAAAAGCTACTACTCTCTGATTTCAGTGCTGGGAATACAATAGGAAGATGTGGAGGCTTTAACTAACTGAGAGGGCAGAGTCCTCTGATTTAGGGGCTGTCTACCTGGTGAGGACATCAACCCTTCACTGTCAAAGGCAGCTGGAAATCAAAACGTTTCAAGAAAAATCTTCTAATTGTTTAAATGTTGGCAACTTATTCAAAATTTATTAAAATACCAAGTGGATCAACACCATTCTAATCAAGCAAAACAAGGCACCCTGTGGGCTGCCCATCTGCAACCTCTGGATACGTAGAGTATAAAAGTAAAACAATCTATACCCTACTTTTATTTTAGTCCCTGAGAAGTAAGAGAAAAGGCACAATTATATCAACGTATTTCTATGAAGTATGAAATCCAAGAGCCATAATTAATTTGGAAATGGTCTAATAAGGCAGGGTGGTGTGCTGAAAAGGATACCCTTCTTGAAGCCAGTCATGTTTGGGGAATCCTGGGTATTTCACTTATCAAGTTGGTTAATTTTCGATTCCTCATCTGGAAATAACGATAAAGTGATCTGGTAAGCTTCTTAGTATACTGTCTGGCATTTGGAAAGTGTTCCATAAATGGTAACCAGGACTGTTATTATGAAATGCAAAATATGCATTTTCAACCACATTTCTTTGTATCCCTCCCAAATATCACTTGTGCCCAGGCCCTACTGCTCTCACTCCTGCCATCCCTTCCTGTGCTCCCATGTTTCATCTCATGGCCTGATGGTGTAGACCCCTGCTCATAAGTACTCTCTGGAGTTTCCCATCTCCTTTCCTGGCCTATGCTCTTGCCTCTCCCTAGAACGTCTGTCCATTTCTTCTTCGTTCAGTTAACTCCTGTGAGACTCGACCTAGCTGTCACCTCTTCTAGGAAGTCTTCCTTCAATGCCACCACCCTCCAATCTAAATAGAGCACTCCCTTTTTTCTGCCTTGTGTTCTCCTCAGTCATAGCATTTGTCAAATGGTCTTATAAACCGTGAGCTCCTGGGAGACAGGAACTGGGCCAATCATCTCACTGTTCCTCACACGTGAGTGCAATGCTTTTACGTGGCATGTAATTAGGAATCAGAAGAATTCATTCCCTCCTTTATGAAGGGAAGGGAAGGGAATAAATCCTCCTTTTAGGAGGATCTATCCATAAAGGATGGAATGAATAAATGAGGTGACTGGAGACCAGCATAGCAAGTGCTCACTCCACTTCAGCTTCCCTTCTGCTTTACAAAGTTTCAAACGTCTTTGGCTACCGAGTGTGCATTTCTTCCCTTGCCTTCCCAAAGCTTACTTCTGCTGCTCTCTCCACTCTCACCCAAACCAATGGAGATTTCCATTCTGGAATGGCAGGTCTTGACAGAAGAGGCACGTTAAGTGTCACCTCCTGAGTCTTGTAAGTGGGCACTGGAAAGACCGCTAAGAGGGTTTCTTTTGAAAAGTAATAATAAATAAAAATACAGCCACTATTTGGAGGTGAAGAAGGGGAGGACCATAACCATAACCCAAGGTCTTATCTTCACTTTCAGAACATGTGGCTTCTTAGCTCAGTGGGAGCAAGAATATGTCTTGTATGCTAGCATCCATAGTCCTATAGCAGAAGAGAAAGCATCTTCTAGGATAGGGCTGCCAATAGCGTGTACGGTAGCTTTCAGTAAAGAAACGGCACCCCTTTCTCCAGAGGGATGCAGACCCCTTCTGGAATACTTAGTGAGAAGAAGACAAACTAGGCCACAGCCCACATGTGCCCCTCATCCAGGTACCTTTGTGAACTATCCATACAACCTACTGAGGTAGTCCCAAGGTAAGAAATTCCCTTATTATGCACAATATTAGAAAAACAATGATGAATAATAGGCAAATATTTATTCTTTTCTAGGAACATGGGTGACATTTGGAGGTCAAATTTCAGATGAGGTAAGTTACCTTTGGCCTGTATTATGCTGATGAGAGAAAATGCAGAGAGAGCTGTACAGCGGGAGTCCTCTTCCTGGGACTCTGACATTCTACAGGGATAAGGTTTAAATCACAGGAAATGGTTAAATTGCCTCAGAGATTATTGTTGATTTTATTTTGCCTGTTGTATTTTTTCCATTTAGACTATTAATAGCCCTTGAAGCTGTACACTATACATGCAGGTTGAGCAGTTAGAGAACGAAACAATTTGGAATAAACATTAGTCACTTTATGAAAAGATTGTATTGCTGTGATGTGATTTTGCTTCATTTATTTGTTTATTTTTAGCTGCAACTAGGATGACTAACTTGTCTCAGTTTGCACAGAAGTTTCCCAATTATAGTATTGAAAGCCCACGTTGCAGAAACCCTCTCAGTCCTAGGAAAACTGAACAGTTGGTCACCTGCCTTGGGCAACTTAATCTAACCTCTCTGAGCCTCAGTCCATCCTATATAAAATGAGATGCTAAGGCTAACCTTCACGGTCTGTTAAAAGGATTAACACATCATGCTTGTCAGATGTTTATAGAGTCCTCTGACTAGCAGGTAGCAGACACTCAATAAATGGCAACTATGGTAATTATATTTACCATAAAATTCCTATAGATGATCATTTACACAGTCAAAACAGTACTTACCAAAGTGACATTTTTTTTGTTTCCTTTAAGGAATACCTTCATGGCACAAGTGAGGTATGCAGGCGTTGAGCACCAAGAACTCCCCTGAGGGCAATGCCCTGAGTCCCTCTGATCCTTCCTTGTCTACTTGCAAGAAGAGTCAGGGATAGTGTATCTGAGCGGGATCCAGTCACACTCTACCATTGACCGACCTGGTTTACTAACATTTACGTGTATTAACAGCGGCCACATCAATAAAATGCTCATACCCTCTGTTCAGCAGGATGGTGGTTAAGATTAACGAGATGATGCCTGTAAAGGGCTTAGTGGGGTACCTGGCCCAGAATAAGCCCTTTACAAAGGTAGTGCTTACCATCATTCCTAATGAGACACTTGGGAAACGGAGGCTTTTCTCCACAGCTCCCAAAATCACCAGTGTTATTTAGCAGATCTGAGAGAGAAGTCTTAACTGTCTATTCTTGTCTGTCCTAATGCCTGTTCCCTGTATTGGGCACATGTCACCTTAGAGGGCTTGCCTCATGGAGGCTCCCCTGGGATGCAGACTTTAAGCTAGAGAGTAGCCTGCAGGACAGTTATTAGGAAGTGTTCTCAGGATCAGCACAGGGCAGGGAAGAAAGCAGCACTGGGCAGACAGAGAACTTGGGTCATGATGCAGCCTCAACAATGACCTCAGCCAACTCCATGGGGATCTCCGAAGCTGAGATGGTTCTGCAGAGTTGTCTCAGTCTGGCACAACATAAAGGATTGCGCCTTTATGTCCTTTTACTGACCAGTCATTGGACCAGAGGCTGATCAGGAAGCAGGTCTGACCTTGGGCTAGGTGACTCTCTCTAGCCAAGTGCAATTTCCAGAGAAGGCTGACAGAGGAAGGCCATTTGATGGCAGCATTCACAGCAACTCAGGGAATAAGTCCTTCAGTTCCAAAGGAGAACCTGAGGGCACATCCCAGAGTCTACTACAGGGCTCTCTCTGACTGGTACCAGGAAGGGGTGTATGGAAGAGGCACAAAGGCAAAGCCACAGAAAGCAGAGCACAAGTTATGGACTTGAAGTCTCATACAAAATAGGTGGCAAGCAGGGAGGGAGGCCTACAGTTAATAATCCTCTGTATCCAGCACATGTATTACCTACTACTGACTGGATGGTGCTTGGAAGGGAAAAAGACAAAAATATGTACCCTTTCTGAGCAGAGGGGCCAAGTAAAGTGCATTATTTCCCCCTAGTCTTCACTCTCCTCTTCACAGTGTCTGCTCTCTGCTGCAATGAGCCAAGCTTGCCCGGGTTGTAGTGTGCAGGGCTGACCTCTGAGATGAATAATTTCAAAATTTCAAGTCTAAAAACTACAATAAAGCTGTCATGAATGGCTGCTGAAGCGCTCACCTCAGATGCAGACCAGGTAAATAGCTATTGTACTTCCAGAGAGCATCTGTGGCTTTCCGTGGGTCCTTGAAGTGAGAATACCAGCAAAGAGAAGAAGGGAGACACAGCCAGAGTCAGTCTCACCCATTATAGAATTCTTTGAGCTCAGTGCTTTCCATGTAGCAAAAATGCGGATCAATAGCAATGAGTTGACCTACCTCGATTTTTCTGCTTTCTCTCTGGCTTCAAATAATCTCAACACAAAGTACATGCAAATATGGAATACTAGGGCTGGCCATACTACAGTGTGCTGAGTTAATTGTTGACAATTACATCATTGTCAACACTGTCTCAGGAGGTGGGGATGTCCCCATCACTGGGAGAGTTCATTTACTGAATTACCATTTGGCAGGGATATTATCAAAAGGATACAAACACCAAACTCTGTAAGGTGCCTCTCAAAGATGATTTGGCTTCATCATAAAATAAAGATAGATGTTACTGATATGAATAATTATTTCTTTAAAATAATGATGAGAGCCGATAAGCATCTTACAGCACTTAATTTTCAGAGTTTTATTGATTTTTTTTTTTTATCTGTAAGGTAGTTAAGGTGCCCTTAACTGTAGGTATCAAAAACCCAACTCAAATCAGGTTAACCCATAAAAGAAAAATTATTTTGACTTTTAAGCTAGAAGTGCAGACAAAGAGCAAGCTTCAGGGCTGCCTCTGTCAGTGACTCCCAATCTGCTTCCCAGCGAGTCTCTTGGCCCGTGGGGCTTTGTGTATCAACTGCTTCTTCAGGCAGAAAGACAGCTGCCGGAACCCCAGGCTTCAATTAGAACTGTAATTCCAGGGTAAGGGTGTTGCTCCTAGAAACTCAGTAGGAACAAATAAAAATGTTCCCAGAAGTCCCCAGCAAACTTCTCCTCATATCTCATTGGCCAGGGTGTGTCACATGACCCTTCCTGAGTGACTCACTCGTAGGCCCCCAGGCCCCCGCTAGAGGGAGGTGAGATCAGCTTTGCCTGAGGCCTCTGGGCTTCATGCAGGAGGAGGAGATAGCTGAACAAAATCATCCCCATTTTGCAAACGAGGAGGCTGAATCTACAGAGAGGTCAAATGGTTTGCCCAGATTTATCTATCTAGTAAGTAGCACCCTCAAGGCCAGAAACCACTCTTCAGACTTAGTTGGTGATGTTTTTCATTATTTCACATTCAGGCCTTCAAGTCCAATGATTGGGAAACATCTCTGTCATCGTTTAGTTTAAGTCTCCATGCAGAATTCTCCATCTTGTCTTAAAAAAAAACTCTGTAGATAAGATTTGTGTACATTTTCCAATAATAATATACCAGTATGTCATATGACATAACACAGGCTAATATAAAATACATGCACAATAATGTTTAAAAATAGGACAGTCATAATGGGGAAAACTTGTCTTAACTTTTAGTCTCCAGTTAGGATATAATTTAAAAATTATAGGAATACAAGATAAATGTTTTAATGGTAGTAAATTAAAAGCATTAATAGCATACTATTATGCTAAAGAATCTGGATGGACTCCATTTTGCTAACTTAACATTTTTCTTGGTAGGCTAATTTTTAAAGCAAACAGAAAAATAGTTCATTTTGGAAATGCTGATGAAGCAACTTCAGCCTGCCATTAAAACATAATGAAAAAATCAATTATAATTATTTGCGAGGTGTGTAATTTTCCAAATGACTAGTAAGTCAATTGGCAAAATGAAAAAATGGCCCCTCTCCACTGTTGTTTATGGCTATCCCTCTCTGGCTATTCCTTAAGCTGTGTATAGCTATTCTCTACTCTTCTGTCATACTCACTGCTTGCGTTCAGCAGCACAAAGCAAGGAACAAGGAGATTTGAGGTCTGTTTGCAGGCAGAACAGTGAGGAACTGGGTTCCTGGTGAGTCAAAGGCACGCTGCCCCCTCTCTGTGTTGATTCAATGGCTGCTCTACGATGGTGCCTGAGATTTTGCTGAACTGTGGGTGGCAGGAATTTTATAACAGTCACAGCTCTGTCTCAGCATCAAGAAAAAAGGCACAAGCCTTCAGGTCAGGAGTCACCTAGCTGCCAAAACTTACTGGCTTGGAGAAAAGAGTTGAGGAATGGAGTCACCAGTGATACAAATGGCCCCCCTCTGTCAGAAAGATTAAGATGCCATAAAGAATGTTGTCAAACCAGCTCTTCCCAGAAGAGTGAGAAACACAAATCTATCCACTTTGGTCAGGCTAAATCCCAGCCTTCACGTAACTCCTCAGTGCCCTATGTCTGAAGGAAAGAATACTTCAGTCCTATGGATACTGGCTGAGCCTTCTTTCTTTCCCTCTCTTCACTAAAACTAAGAAAAATAAGGAGTGGTTAGTGAGAGGTCAGTGTTCCTAAAGATCAGTAGAGGACTCAAAGTTGCTTCCAGGTTTGGAAAGCACTTGGCTTTTCTGACTGACCTTCCCATCCCCTTGCAGGTTGCTGAACGGCTGATGACAATCGCCTATGAAAGTGGTGTTAACCTCTTTGATACTGCTGAAGTCTATGCTGCTGGAAAGTAAGTCAGTACCTGTTTGTGTCACTCAAATGGCATCTGTAGCACCAAAAGAATCAAACCATTTCCAACATGTTGGTGAAAAGGTTCTGTCCTTTCTCCACGTGTTGATGGCTCTGCTCTGCCCTCTACCACCATTACTAGAATTGGGGATACTGACTGTCTCTGGAACTCTCTGCTCACCCAAACCTTCCTGTTTCTGGTCTCTGTATGAAGAATGGGCTGAAGAGGTATATGACCAGGAAGCAATTGCCATGTCTATGTGAGGGACAGCAGAGTCTGGTGCCAGAGTGGTGGCAGTGGAGACTGAGAAATATTAGTTGAATACATTAGTGACCAAATGAATGAACAGGTTCCAAAATGGTTGCTCAAAAGTTAGTGTCATTATTTCATAACCATATCTCATAGTTCTTCAGCCCCTGAGGAACTGGGACATCCTCCTTGCAGGGAAGCAGAAGCTTTTCCTGTTTACCTCCCTGTCCCCACACTAGCATTACAGGAAGATCAGAAGTCAAAGTCAGGATCCCCCAAGATGCCAAAGAATCTGTTATCTTTTGTAAGAGGGGATCTCAGAGCCCATTCTGAGGACAGGAAGGGTTGTAGAGAGTCCTCGCTTCTTTTGTGAAAGGAGTCACATCCAACTACAACCTTCCTTTGAACCCAAGGCAGATTTGGAGCCCTAAGACAGGGCTTGTTAAACTAGAACACATAGGAAATGGGCCAGGCCAAGCCTGAAGGTTCATGCCGTCCAGGTCCCAGCCTAACCAGCACAGTTCAGAATAGATCTGGGACTCCCTGGCCTCCTACTGGGAAGATGGATGTCCAGCTCTCAGAACCAAGGAAACTAAATAGCTGCCCAGCTGTTTGAACAGCTCTGCAATTTTCTAACTGGACTGTGAGGTATAATCACCTGCAGGCCTAATTCACCTCCTTCCAGGTGAGATTACAATCCAATTGCTGGACTTGCTGAATCAGGATGATCAGTGGATGGTCCCAGTGCATTTTCTTTGCATGAGTTTCTTCCTTTTCAAGACATGTATATGTTTAAGGACCATCGAGGAGGTTCATAGCTCACATTCTGGACGCTTTCTGTTGAATCCAAGGAGAGAAAGTAAAGGTTATAGGGTCTTGCTCCTTTCTGCCTTCTACCCCTTTCCATTGTTTTCTTCTTGTGGAATCCTGCTTAGTACCAAATGGCACTAAGGTAGAAAAAGGGAGAAGTAAGTAGCAAGTCTGTTAGAGTCCTGTTTGTATTACTCCTGTGAGGATAATCGCTCTGATTAATTATTGATTGTCAGTCTATAATTGAGATAGGTTTCCACTGTGAAATGCAAGATTGTAAAAGGTAACAGAGAGATCGGGAGAAGCAAAAGCAACACACCAATGCAAGACTCAATGCTTGTCTCTTTGGGGCATACTCCACAGCTAACCTGCATCATAGCTTATTGCAAGCTATACACTCTAACAAAGACAGAACTTTCAATTAAAACCAATAATGATTAGCCATGACTCCTGTCCACAGCCTAATGGGCAAGGTGCTAATTCCACTGATCTCCCATTCACTAAGCCTCTGAGAGCCCAGCTGCTTCTGACAATGTTGGTCATACTGGGAGGGACATAGAACATTTGTCTACTCAATCTCGGGTCCCAGCCTGGGTAGGTGGAAGAGGAGAGGACAGTGGATGCCTTCAGTATGCCTCTGCAACCCAGCCTTAGGGGCAGGAGGGACACTTCGTTATGTCTTCCTCTGTTTTGCTCCTATGACAAAGTTGGTCACTGGAACCTAGGATGTTCCGTACGTGAGTGTTCTCTATGTGGGACATCTAAACCCACAACATCGGTTTTAATTTATACCTGAGAGCCAATAGTTTCTATCTAAGCAATGTGAGGTCTCATTGTTCTCCATGGTCACAATTGAATTGCTTCATAGCAATTAGAAGGAAAACTTTGACCTCCTTTGGACACTACCAAGCAAGACATTTATATATGGGATCATTGGTTCAAAAACACCAAACTGCAAAGTGACTGCTGCTGCTTAGTATCAGGACTGCAGGCGGTCTCCTGCCAGCGTGTCAGGATTTGGCAGGTGCTTCTGGAATGCTCCGGAGCAGGATTCTGCAGGCACAAGCAGAAACAGCGGAAACTGTGCTACCAGCCGAGAGCGGCTTCTATTTTCGGGATATGTAGGCACTGAGAGTTCAAACAAGGAATGGTTCTTGTGTTCTGGATTGACTCTTGCTTTTCCAGGACACTGCATCCTAAGACATTATCTGTTTCCCTCTCCAGGGCTGAAGTGATTCTGGGGAGCATCATCAAGAAGAAAGGCTGGAGGTATTGCATTTGCCATAATTATTTGTTTATTTTTAAAAAGATATCGTTTTGCACCAGAGAAAGAAAAATAAAATTATATGACATCTGACCAAAAGGTTGTCAAAAAAAAAATCAACTGTTGGTAAAGCGATGATTTATAGTGGCTTGAAAATAAATGCCGGCAAGTTCACTTCTGGCACTTCAAAAATTAGTCTAGTCAATGACTAGATCAGTGACTAGTCATTGATCACAATGAATTACCAAAGGGTTGAGCAGAGAAGGAGGGGATGTTCATGAAATATTTGTGCATAAAAAAGTAACAATTTCATGGCTTCTGACTGCCATTTGTGCTAATCTGTTGTAGGAAGTAACTTGACAGGAAACTATCCCCCCACACACATGCATTTATGTTTGCTGTTTATTTTATTAACTCTGGATGCAAAGAAATGATGAAACAAGAAGACTTTGGGATAAATACCCCAAAGCTTTCTTATCTGAACACATTTAGTCAGCGTCTCTCCTGTGTGCCCAGGAACCCTGTTATCTGGGTATTCAGAAAAGTGCTTCATCTGCTATCCTTGAGAAACACAATGGCTGTGCTGACCTGTCCCTTTCCATCACCTTCTGTAGCCAAAGACAGTGGTAATCAGAGAAGCTATAACATCTATGGACAGTGGGGAGGTAATACTTCCCCATTTCACTATAGATTTCAGCCACAACAGCCACTACTTCCCCCGCACGAATACAGAATTAAGCAAAGCTCAGCAAAGAGTACTGGACAAATTTGGGGTCCTCCTCTGCCCTGGCATAATATCTGCTGATTACCAAATAAGTGACAGTGTAATTGTATTAGTGAAGACAGCTGTGCAAAGAGCTGTGTACTCATGCTTCAACACTTAGCATGTATTTTCTAAAATTTAGTCTAGGGAAAATGGACATTCTCAAAGAGTTCAAAAGTGGTTTTATTATGCTTTTGCACACATGATTTAAACTCTCTCTAGGAAGTGAAACTAAGAAGGTGAAACAGACCTGCATGTTTTTTTAAGGCTGCTTACTCCCCACTCTGAGACAAACTTTCGGTAGGAATAGAGGGCCCTGTGGAAACGGAAAAGCAAACATTTATAGAGATATGAACAAATAAACTTTGATGACCTACTTTCTCCTTCTCCCTTCTCCTTCTCTCCCACCCCAGGGAACTGTAAGGATGTTAATAGAAAACTATATTCCACCTTATATATGGGAAAACATTCATGTTCCCACTCAGTCCTTCACCTTGCCTGAGTTACCTTCCCACTCAAAGTATTGGTTCACCCATCACTGCCTAAATAGGGACTGTATCCATTCCCTATGGTTGCTGCAACAAAGGACCAGAAACTGGGTATCTTAAAATAACAGAAATTTATTCTTGCATGTTTCTGTAGGCCAGAAATCCAAAATCAAGGTTTGACTTCAAGGTTGGCAGGGCCGTGCTCCCTCTGACATTCTGGGTAAAGTTTAGAGTTCTTCCTCGCTTCCTCTTAGCTTCTGGTGGTTGCCAGCCATCCTGGGCATTCCTTGGCCTGCGGCTGCAGCACTTCAGCTCTCCTCCCATGTGTCTGTGTGTCTTCTGATAAAGACACCAGTCATATTGGATTAACGGCCTACTCTACCTATTAACTAATTATATCCGCAGTGATCCTATTTCCAAATAAGCTCACATTCTGAGGTTGTGTAGGTTAGGACTTTAACATATCTTTTTGGGGTACATGATTCAATTATAACAGAAACCTTGGAGATAATTCCACTAATAGTACAGTGAGGTCTGCAACAAGGTGTAGGCTGCTGGAGTACATCTAAGGAAGAAGGGAAAGCATCAGTGCAGTAGCTATTTTCTTTCTTAACACCCAGAGAACATTAAATGATCACTCTCCATAGCTGCAGAACCTATTTTATATACCTTTTGTAGAAAATAGATTACCATGCATATTCCACAAACTGCCTTTCATTCTTGCAAATAAAAACTCAAGCTACAATTATACTCCAGAATGTTATATTAGTTCACAGTTGCCCCCATGAGACTGGTGAAAAGATAAACCATAGCATCACAGCTTTGAGCCTATGAAAGCTGTTTCGACTAGCACACTTGACTTCTGGTTCTGGCGTTACCACTTGCTAGCTATGTTATCCAGGACAAGTTATTACACTTCTCTGATTCTCAGTTTAACCACCTGTAAAATGGACAGCATAACAGTTCATGAAGTGTCATGCTGACAGAGTGAGATAAGGTGTGCAAAAGCATTTTGAAGGCTGTGCTATATCACTGTAAAATGCATTATCATTCTCTACGCACTCAGAAGAGTTGCTCTAATAGCCTCTGTGGGAGTCAGTGATAATTTGCCAGGCTGCTGTCTACTCTTGCTCTTTGAACATATATGTTGGTGTGCATACCCTTATAGGCCAAATGTTTTGCAGGAAGCCTAACTTTGAAAAACTAAGTCTGTAGCAGTGTTTGTATAGAACGTGCAGCTTTCAATAATCAAAAGGACTGCATTCAGTTTTTATAATATTCCATCCAGCTTTTTGTGGAAGGTTGAAAGTGCTAAAGGAGACCAGGCTCGCCTGTGGCAGGTTGCTATTATAATAGATATCATGAGATTGATGTATTAACCTGGAAAGTACATCAGCCCTTTCAGGTTGTGTAATCTCCAGGTACATGTATTTATCGACCTTCCATTACAGTGATTCAAATTACTTTTTGGGGGATTAACTTCAGTGGGATGGGGCTGCTAACATTTTCAACAAATTTTTCTTGTTGCAACCAAGTTGTCAGAGTTGTCACCGTCATTCCCTGTTGGTTATCATTAATCATACTAGGCTTTTATACCCGAGAGCCCTGAGGCGTTGACTTTACAGATGATAGAATTATAAATGCCTTATTTCAAGCGCTCCTGAAGATTGGCCTTAACCTTTGAATCTCAAATGATTTTTTTTTCTAGACCAGTGAGATCAAATTACATACTGAGGGAAACCAAATTGCACTGAGATCTGTTTCCCAATTTTATTGTATCCCTGTAGTTCTCAAGACATATTTTTTATTCCATGATCATAATACTAGGATTGCATTTCCTGCCCTTGGTTGTGGCTTTCAGAAGGTAATAAGTTTGCTGATGAGATTTGCACATTTCATTCCCTTAGCAGTAAAATGGTAGAACCTTGAGCTAAGGATTTTAGGACTGTTTTCCTAAAATGACATTTCCATTTAATAAGACACTCAAAGACATTTTTTTCCTGTTTGTTCTAAATATTTACTATTATAATTCACTTCATCATTTAGATTTCTATGTAGTCAGTTCCTGCCTGTTAATGTGATGCTAGAAGGGATAATAACTCAGAGCCACAAGGGTCCATGTTCCTTGGCAGAGAGTGGAGTCCTCCTGGGAGGAGTTCGTATGCAATCAGCGTTAGGCCAGATGCTGAATACACGTGTTCGTTGGTGTTTGTTCATTTGACCTACTAAAGCAATTCATCCCCTCAGTCCTTTCACTTCCATCCCCACACGCCATTTCTGACCCTCCATGCTGGCCCACCACTCACCTTCACTTTGCTATGTCCACCTGGACTTGCTGTCAGTTCTCAATCTGACTTGTTATCACTGCCCTCCACCTCCTCCAGGCAAAGATCATTTCCATTCAGCCTCTTCCTCTAGGATCCAACTTTGAGTCCCCCCTCACTAGCTTCCCTTTGTCTTTATTTCAGTGAGATGGATTAACAAATTTACCTCTTTACCAATTTTTAAAATGTGAGGTACAATAACAAATTCTTTCTGGTGCTATTATAATAATATGACTCGGTACAATAACCTGTATTTATTTACTACTTCTCTGTGTTTGTCTGTTTGATATACAGGAGGTCCAGTCTGGTCATAACAACCAAACTCTACTGGGGTGGAAAGTAAGTTATTTTTCCTACTAAACAGAAAACCACTAGTAGTTCCTGCTTTTTTGCTGTTAGGCAGTTATTTTACATATAACATGCTAAGATTAATTGGCTTAGAGAGAGGATTTTTTTTTTTCTCATACTAAGGAAATACCAATTAGCCTAAGATTTAATTTCAGCCAGGTACTCCCAAAGAAATTTAGTGCAAAGCATGTGGTCACTTGTTACTAAGTGATTAATGTAGATTTTTCAAATACCAGTCTCATACTTAGAATCATTTCCAAAATAGAGTTCAAATTTCAGGAAAGGAAAATAGGCACGAAGCATCACAGAAGAAAAGTCACTCAAATCTGCCAAAACTCAGAGACTTCTGCAGAATGCAAAGATAAAAATATCTTGTCTGGCTCCATGTCTAAGTCTCTGATCATTTCTGCAGAGGGCTCTGAAAGTGCTGCTCAAAAGAACCATCTCATTGGAGAATAACACGGAGCTACCTGTATCACTCGCTGTCAGGCTAAATGAAAGAGAAATGTGCTCTCTGTTGTGGGATGCAGAGAAGATTTCATGGAATGAATTGGCTTCTTATGGGCCTGCTGGCATTTGAACTGGTACTTACATTATTCAGCAGGACTTAGAAGGCTGGCCTTTTGACAAACATGTAAGAAGACAGCAAGCTATTCCATATACCAGAGCAATCATTGGTACTGTGCTTTTCCATCTTTGAGACAGAAATCATAACAAAAAGAAAAATGCTGGAGTTTTAACAAAAAGCAAAAACAAACAAAACCTTATTTATCTTCCTATAATTGATAGGGAATTTTTTTAATTGGAGGCAGAGGCCAATTCTTCTTTAGGAACCTTCTAATCAAAATGTATATGTGTATATACACACTTGCAAACATATACTCTGTTTTGTTGTTGGTTTTGAGCCTATTTATAATGATATGAAGACAGAAAGATGAATTTAAATTTGTATTCCTGTAGTAATCTGTACAAAAATAAAGCAACATCATGCCTATGAGAAATGCGGATTTTCATTGCCTGTGTTTTGATTCACAGTGCCATTGCTCAGTGCTTTTGCAATGCCACAAAACCTTGCAGGAAGTAAGACAGTCTGCAAGAACCGTTATATTGTAGAATATGTAGTAGAATACTACCTACAGTATTACTAATGTATTTATTAAAAATACCGAATAAGAATACATTCACAAAAGTGAATGGTAAATATTATATTTAAAAAGAAGCTGCCAAAGGTATTGAAGATGAAGAAACATGTTATCAATACTTTAAAATTCAAGTACCATATTTCATTCAAATTGGCCAGAGCTTGAGAATTGGGAAGGCAAAAGTCCTTATGATTAAGGGTCTGGCTTCTGGAGATACTAATTTAAGGAACATTTGCTTCATCGCGTTTTAATTTAGTTTTAAAATTTATTTTGGAAGTCAAAGGCACTTCCACATTTGCTTCCTTTATCAGAAAAGCTAACAAAGAAACTTCAGCAGCCTGGCAATCTTACAATAAGCTCACAAACCTATGTCAAGACTTTTATTTTCTTTAGATTGGTTAAGAACAAGGTGAAAAGGTTGTACAGTGTCTTGAGTTAAATATGGACAGAGTGTACGTGGCTGAGTTGCTGTTTACTGGAGCCTGGTGCTGAGCATGATAGAGGCATGGTGACCGTCGTGGATAATTCATCTACTGAGGTCTCCAAAGAAAAGGGGTTCAGTGTGTTGCCCACCAGACTTCTCTCCTCAGCCTTCAGTGGTGCAGAATTTGATAAGAACAGGGTACAAAACTAGCATTTCAGATCAGAGATTTAGAGAAGAAAAGAAAGCACACTCTCATTCAAAGTTACTTGCTTCTTTTTCTTGGCAGAGCGGAAACAGAAAGAGGGCTGTCAAGAAAGCATATTATTGAAGGTGGGTGCTTCTGCTTCAATTTTATTTTTGGCTGTGGGCCCCTCGTTCAAGAAAGGTATCAACCAAACAAGTTCAGAATACACTGGAAGAGGAAAAAGTTCTATATGAAAAGTACCACAATCAATCAAGTTTCTTCTTGGGGTTAAATATAGGGAATGCAGAGATGTAGAGGGGAGAATGGGAACTCGAAAGGAAAAGGCAAAATTGTATAGAACTCTTCTCATTTTCAGCTATTACTAATATTAATAAAACATTCCCACAAGACTTTTTGAAAGAGCTTTGTTGAGATATAATGTACGTATCATAAAAGTTTACCCATTTAAAGTGTACATTTCATTAGTTCTGAGTATAATTACGGAGTTGTACACCAAACACCCTAATCTAATGTGAAAACATTTTTATCACCCCTAAAATAAACTTTATACTCACTAGAAGTCACTTCCTATCACCACCTCACCCCCTCCCACAGTCCCAAGCAACCATCAATCTACTTTTTATGTCTATAGATTTGACAATTCTGCATATTTCATGTAAATTAGATCCCATGACATATGATATTTTGTAACCGATTTCTTTCACTTAGCATAATGTTCATTCATGTTGTAGCACGTGTCAGTATTTTACCCCTTTCTTTGCCAAGTAATAGTCCACTATATGGATAGCCACATTTTGCTTATCCATTTACTAGTTAAACTACATTTGGCTTGTTTTCACTTTTTGGCTACTCTGAATAATGCTGCTATGAACATTTGTGTGCAAATTTTTGTGTAGACAAATGTTAAGACTACTATACTTTTTAGTTTTTATTTTATTATTGTTTAGATTTTTTTCAAATACATATATTTTTTATTTCAATAGCTTTTGGGATACGAGTGGTTTTTGGTTACATAATGAATTGTATAGTAGTGACCTCTAAGGCTTTAGTGCACTCATTACTGAGTAGTATACTCTACTGTTTTAGAAGGGTATATACATATGCATAGAAAAATGTATAGAAAATTACCACTAGGTAATTGATTCCTGGTGCATTACTTTTGCAAGGCACTCAAAATTTTGTGTAATTTAGAAATAAACAGGAAATAAAACAGTCAACAAGAACCATTATGTAATAAAGTACTACTACTCTACTTAATCGTGAAGATTGTGAGAATTGTGAGTAATTTTTGTTTATTTCTTGCTTGTCTATATATTATAAAATTTTACACTTATACTTTTTGCAGTAAAGAAAAATGTTAAGAGTTTATACTAGTTTGTGAAGTACAGATGCTCCTCAATTTATGATGGGATTACATCTCAACAAACCTATCTTAAATTGAGAATATCTGAAGCTGAAAATGCATTTAATACACCTAACCTACTAAACATCATAGCTTAGCCTAGCCTACCTTAAATATGCTTAAAACACTTACGTTGCCCTACAGTTGGGTAAAATCATCTAACACAAAACGTATTTTATAATAAGGCCTATTTTATAATAAATTGTCACATGTATGAATAATTTATTGAATACTGTTCTGAAAATGAAAAACAGAATGTTGTATGGAAACTCGATGTACAGTTTCTACTAAATGCATATCACTTCCACAACATCATAAAGTTGAAAAACCCTGAGTCAAACCATTGTAAGTTGTGAACTATCTGTATTTCAAAAAAAAATCCAAGAATTTTGTAGCTTTAGGTTCATGATTGATCATTGAAACAAGTGATTTTTCTCCTTTTTTAAAAATAATTTCATTTACTAATTACTAACATCACCAGAAATGTAAAATGTGCTCTAATCTCACCACTTCAAAAATAAAAATAGATAAGGAAGCCAGCTTCTCCATTTGCTCATCCAGCCTCATCCCATCCCAGAGTTTGACAATCTGTATATATCTTCTTCACCTTTTCTCTATGGTTGTACTGACTTATCTATCTATCCATCCATCCAAACACTTGCTTATATTTTAAATATATATATAAACAGTAGAACCAAGCTACAAATATTAACTTAAGTCTTGATTTTTTCTCAATTAAAATATATAACTTACAGATTATTTTCAGTTTTTAGCGTCATAAAGAATTATACAAGTGACCATCCTTAGGTAAATAGGGTAGATTCCAGAGTGGCATTTCTAAGTCAAAGAATTATACAAATTTTAATACAAAATTACTTTCTAAAAGGAATATGCCATCCTGTTAGATGAGTTGGTCTTATCTCCTTATGTATATATTTATTTATTGGTGAGTTTGAGCTTCTTTTAATAATTTTGTTCTTCTTTTTCTGGAAATTCACTCTTCATGTTGTCAGGCTGTTTTTCTTTTGATTTGTTTGTCTTGGTCATAATAATTTGCAGGAACTCTTTGTATACTAGTGATGGTCACTGTTTGCTTGGTTATATTTTTGCAAATATTTTCTCCCGGGCTGTCATTTCATTGTGAACTTTTTTCTTTCCATGAACCTAAGAGACAATGTTTCATTCGAGTATTTTTATTCCAACTTGGAAGCTGATGATCTTTATTGGCCTATAAACAAAACTACATTGAAATATCTTAGACTTATAACAGAAAAAAAATCGTTTCAGTATTCAATCACTGAATTTAAAATGAAGACTTTTGAAGCCAGATCTCAAAATGTGTATATATGTGTGTGTGTATATATATATATGTATTCTTTCTCGATTGCCAGTGTGAACCATATGTGTGTGCATGTTTGTGTGTGTGTACATAGATATATACCATAATAATTACATCACCCCATTGTCTCCAAAGTCTTTATATAGGTTTGGTATCTCTCACTGACTATTTTTAAATATAATTTTAAGCATATGTGCTTTGAAGTCAGACAGACCTTTGTACAAGTTCCAACTCTGTCATTTATGAGCTAGTGACTTTGTGCAAGTTCCTTAACCTACCTAACCTCTGTCTCCTTAACTATAGACTATAAATATAAGGGTTACTATATGGGGATAAAAATTATATAATTCACGTTGAGCACAGTGTCTGTCACATAATAAGCACTTAATACATGTTATTTTTGTCATCATCAACTGCTAGTCTTCATTCCGTGGATAAGGACACTACTAAGTAGTGACATTCTGAAACAGCCACAACAAATGACAAACTTCTAGCCCTCAGAAAAACCTCCAGATTCCTCACCCAGACAGCATCCTTTCTCAGGCCTTAGTGTCCCATTTGACATTGTAAAGTCAAAGCTAACCTGCCTCTCAAAACTGTTACTGCCCTAGCATTCCTGCCCCAGCATTTGCCCTCATGACTTGTGTTCTCTTCCATGGAGTTTGTCAGTGACAAATAACCAAGTCAGCTCACAGAACCATGCTGAATGAACAGGGCAGCAGTTTGCTGCCAGAAAAGTTCTTGCTTTTTGTTCTTTTCTTGTTAATCTAATTAATTAGAAAAGAGAGATTCAGAAAATGGTTGACACTGGCAATTAACAAAGAAATATAAAATCGAAGAGAAAAAGAAAGGAGAAGGTATGCTACTATACTCCTCACTGAATCTCCATGGCTCTAATATTTACCAGAGTGTGTACATAATTTCAGGGTTCTTTCTTCTTTCTTTCTTTACTTTTTTTTTTTTTTTTTTCGAGATGGAGTCTTACTCTGCCACCTAGTCTGGAGTGCAGTGGCATGATCTCGGCTCACTGCAACCTCCGCCTCCAGGGTTCACGTGATTCTCCTGCCTCAGCTTCCCAGGTAGCTGGGACTACAGGCATGCGCCACCATGCCCAGCTAATTTTTTTGTATTTTTAGTAGAGATGAGGTTTCACCATGTTGGCCAGACTGGTCTCAAATTCCTGACCTCAGGTGATCTGCCCACAAATAAGCATTTTTTCAAGCCTCATATGACATAATAGAAATACCTTAAATTCCCTCCACCTTTAAATAAGTCAGGAATTCTCTTAGGAACTAATCTCTGAGGATGGATAAACCAGTTCAGCTGAAATTCAAGCTGAGCCAGATTCAAACTTTAACACAAAATTTCAAACTTTTGAGATGGAAGAAGAATTGAGATCATTTGTTATTATGTTGTTGGTGGGTGGTGTTATTTTACAGTCCATAGTTTCTGCCAAAGATAAAGCTTTGTGATTACAAGAGAATTAGCTCAAAGTATTTTCTAGGCAGGCTGAAATTAGGGGATTGAGTGAATTTTGCAGAAAAGCAAGGACATGAGATGAGACCCAAAATAAAGTTTAAAAGAGTTTACAAGTCATTATCCTTGGATTTCACTGGTACTTGGTTCTGTGATGAAGGTGACCTCATTCGACATTGGAGATTTGTATACAAATTAAATTTGAGAAGTACTATTAGAGGATAAGACAGAAAGTTCAAATTGATACAGAGTTCAGGCCACTTCTGTGCTGGCTGACCTGAGCCACCTGAATTAGTTTACAGAGTATACGATGAGCTTGACTTGTGTGTAATGTAGGTTTGAAAGAGTTCACGTTGAAAGGCCTTTTTAATGAGCCCAAAGTTCTTGACTTAGATCTGCTTAGGTGTAATGCTCTCCTTAGATTCACAAGGAGGAGGAAGAAATTTCACTAGTAGATTGATTGCACTCATTTAGAATCCCAAAGTCCCCTCGGGTTCTAAAATCCAATTTACTCATTCAGCCATTCCACAAACATTTGTTAAACCCCAATTTGAGCCAATGTTGGAATGGAGCAGAGCAGATTCCTTTGGTGCTGGCTCGGCATGGTGGCTTATGCCTGTAATCCCAACGATTTAGGAGGCTGAGACGAGAGGATGGCTTGAGGCCAGGAGCTTGAAACCAGCCTGGTCATCATAGTGAGACCCTTGTCTCTACAGAAAAAAAAATAAATAAAATAAAAAATAAATAAATAAATAAATAAATAAATAAATAAATAAATAAAAATAAAATAAAACACGTTCCTTCAGTGCCTAATGTAAAGGAAAAGAAATAGTTTGGTAGGTCACTGAGTAAGAATAAGTAAATCTCTTGTGTATTCCAACAGCCAAAAGCTGCGTCTGACTCTACATTTGCCTTTCAGATAAACAGTTTTGTTATGCAATTCAAAACACAAATCCACTGCCATTGTTTTTGGAGTAGGAGAGGAAAATAATCTGAGAAAGCTCTGCTTGAAACTTTTAAATTAATAACGAATGTTAAACTCTATGAACTTTAAAAGAAAAAGACAATCTATGATTTTTCAATTAAAGAATACATTTCTGAACAAATGGATTTGCCACAGGATTTTTTTTCCGTGTACTACATTCATGTAAACGTACATCACCCATCGAGGATAACCACGTTTCATAACAGGAGGCACAGCCACATGCTGAATATGATTCCGATACAACTCAGCCTTTAAAAAAGAAGCAGATGTCTCAAATTATGACGATAGGTCTGCTGAGAAAAAACTAGAAATTATATAAACAATGTATATTATTTAAGGCAACTTTTTTTGCAAGCTAGATAGAAAAGCAAGTGCGTGGTAGGTGTAAAAGGTGACGACACAGCATGCTTAAATAGAACCCTTGCAGAATCTCCAAACTACTGATTTCCTTGCTTCCACACAAACCTGCAGCACCGAACACCCCATCCACCTCTAACTGTGCCAATCTGCTGACTGTCTGGAATAAGCATATTTCTTTAGAAACCTGTGAAATATGCTTAAATTGAATTAAGGTTACCTTCTAAACATTATGGTTCTTGTTAAACTTTGGAACCTAAAAGAAAAATGGACTTAGATTTTTTTTTTTTTTTTTACTGTAATCACTTGAAAACTATTTTCTTTAAGTAATTTATTTTCCTGTGAACTTTTGAGAAATTGCCAGTTTACTTCTAATTATCTCCTCAAGGTCAGGGAGCATTTCTGCTGTTTTTCCTGTTTTCCCCTCCCACAGGTGCTGGGTTAGTGCAGAGGGACAGGCTAAGGTCAAATTGCCTTCAGCAAGTGCATTTACTGCACTGGAGCACTTAACTCCTTAGGTTAAGATTGGCTGCCCAGCTGCCCTTCTGGAGCCAAGGTTAATACATTTTTGCATGTCTACTTAAACTTAAAACAATACCTGGCCCTAAGCCAGTGCTCAACAAACATTTGCTAAATGGAGATAGAACACGATGACTTGTTTTTTTGAAACTAAACGTAAATGACTCTGAAGGAGATACTCATGAAACATATCTTAATGAAAAAGCAGGAATACCTGGTTTGGTTTGTAGTCACATGAAAGACCAAAGCAGGAAGATCAGCTAGCACCATTTTGTCCTTGGACAGATGAGGAAACTGAGGCTCAGAGAGGCTAAGGGATATCACAGGGTTATTCAGGACAACCCAAATCAGTACCTTGAATCCCAGACCCTGTGCCTCACCTCCTCTGAACGCCAGACTGGTCCATCCAGCTGCCAAGAGCTTCATGTAGTGACTGAGGTGCTGCTTAGACTAAACTTGGCTCCCCGACCACCTCCAGTTAGCTTTCCCCCTGACTGCCCCATTTAATAACAGTCACTTCACTTCTCAGGCCCCAAATCTAGGGGTTGTTCTTGTTTACTCTAACCTCCACACCCTATATGCAGCACACCAGCAAGTCCGTGTATTTCTACTTACACCACTTGTCTCAAATTTATACACCTCTCACTAACTTTGTCTGAGCTGGATGGGCTGCAGTGGCTGTGCCTGCCTTCACTCTTGTGCCTTCAGGTCCCTCTCAGCAGGTGGAGCCATCGGTTCAAAATGGAAATCTGATCATATTATTTCCCCTGCTTAATCTCCTCCTCACTGGAACCTCCCCTACCAGTGTCTTTAAATCTCACACAGAATCCAAAGTTCATACCATGGATTACAAGACTTTATGTGATTGAGATTTGTAAAGTGAGTGGATAGTGTCCTTTGGAGGGACAATTTCCTTTCATTCCACTTCAAAGTCAGAGGAGGGATCACTGGCCTCAGATACTTGAATTTCTTGCCAAATATCAAGAAAGAGTGCTTTTCAGAGAAAGAATTAAAGAGGTGGGAATGACCAAATACCATGAGGCTGACCTTAGTATCAAGTCCATATCATTAGTTCCAGGTACACATTACAACCTTGAACAAGGAACCTGTGCCAATAGATGCTCTCAATATGCACTGTTAGAGCTCCTTGGGATGAAGACTGTGTCTGTGCATCTTTAAATGCTGAGAGCCTGGCACAGTCTCAGGATGAAATTGGGACTCAATACATGCTCATGGGATGGAATAATAAATGACAAAAAGTCACACCTATCTGTGACATGCCTCATCACACAGTGCTGTAACAGTGCCAAGTTATTTGTAGCTGCTTCTGCTAGTTACTCTCAGCCCACACTGAGCTGTTTAGAAGAGAACAGGGAGAGAGGGCCATTGTCAGAAAACAAGATACTTATTTCGTCTGCCAAGCACAGGCCAGAACTGTCATTAAATGCCCCTCTCCAAAACAGGGGGTCTAGTGAAAATTTTTGGCATTTGGTCTTTTGCTGTCTTCCCCCTGGAACTTTCCAGATGTGAATACCACGGTATAATTTCACGTTGTGGTTCTGTAGACTGTGTTACACAGCTCTCCCAGGAACACCAATTCTGAAGGTGTCAGTATTGTGCAGTATTGGTCCACTGCAGACTAGAGAATTGAGTCTCAAAAAAAGGTCAAAGAACCCAAGTGGGGTCCCAAGCATTCTAGGGTGCAGATTTCCAGCCTTTCAAACCTTGTGATATCCTGTTATTTGTTTACTTAGTATTCCTGTCCTTTCCTTACCTCCTCCCTGCATACAACTGTTCCCAAAAGTGGCTCATATCATGATATTTTTTCACTTTAATTTAATTTCACACCGTTTCTTGAAATAGCTGGTGATACCCTGTGCCTGAGCATCACGGAAGGTTTATAAGAGCAGGCATTAGACCTCATAACATCTGTCTGCCCTAATCTCTTCATCAAAGCTTTTAACAAGCTGCCATCACAGACAGTCCTTTCTCAATGGATGGAAAATATTTCCGGAACAATATTCAAGCACTCCATCTTCCTGTCAGAAAACTAATTGTAGCTGGCTGATAAACCAGTATGAAAAATCAAATTTAAATGAACCAAATTTAAATTTATAAGAGCCTCATTTAACATGCAATTAATTTTATGTCTATAATAAAGAGAGTAAAGCCTCTGGTCTCCCTGAGGAATTAAAGAGGCTGATAAGAGAATGCTAAATGCTGTGCCCCATGGAAATGGGATAACATGATTCTCAAACACTGTCATCCTTTTGGTTGCATAATATTATATACAATATGTTCTATTTCAGGGAAGTATTAATTTTACTAAAATTAATTTTTTTCTGAGTATTCATAGAAATGTGACCAAATGGTTAGGGCTGAAACATAGGCTGTTGGTTCCTAACTCCCTTTTCAAGTTCTTATTCTCTCCTTTATATTACCTCTTCAGTCTTTATAGCTTCTAATGTTTTTGTTTCTTCCCCCAAAATGGGAAATAATAGAAATGTTAGAGCTCAGCTATATTTTATGTTCCTTAAACTTTATTCCAATTAGTAAAATGTTGAGCAAAGGCTTCATTTGCTAACCCTTTATATTACTATTAAAACCAACATTTACATTAAGATGGGGTTGGGGCAGTCATTTATTTCTGATTTAAACCTTTCTAATGAGTTTTATGTATAATAAATGTATCTCTGGCTCACTATAAGCCTATTAAGTGATCCAAAACATAAACATTAATTTGCATTGTTCAAGAAGAAAAACACTAACTGTTGGAAAGAAGCTGCTTTTTATTCTAAATTTTGCTTCTGGATATTGCCTCATACAAGTTACTGTGAAGGTCGTTCCTAAGTATGTATTTTCCTGTGAGAGTGATAATATTCCTGAAAAAGTTCTAAGACTTTTCTTGTTGGGGGAAGTCAGCCTTTGATGTAATTTTAAAACGTTCTAGGGTCAATTAGCAATCATTGTATTCAAAGCATTTTTGAAACTATTCCAATTCTATTTTTTTAAAGTAAATTATTGAAAGAAACCAAACTTCAACTCTTTGAATACTGCTCATATTTAGATTTTGGGGTTTGTTTCCTGCTTCTGCTCCCAGGATTGAAGGGCTCCCTTCAGAGGCTGCAGCTGGAGTATGTGGATGTGGTCTTTGCTAATCGACCAGACAGTAACACTCCCATGGAAGGTAAGTTAAGAACTTTAATAAAATACTCTAGAATTCTTGATTCAGTTTGAGGACTTACTCTGCTCACAGTAGGAAATGAATTGTATTCAGACTGATTGAACTGAATGTGGAAAAAAAAATATTTCTGACTGATGCCTTTTGGCCTCAGCATTTACCCCCAAAACCAATGCTCTGTCTGCTGCATCTTCTTATTTTAAAGCAGTTGAAGGCATTGGGTTTGTGGCTCCCGCTGGTTACAGTGCTCACCTTTTCCAGGTTCATTTCACTTTCATGATTTCATCAGCTAAAACAATAAAGTTAATTGGAAAGGGGCTTTATAACACAGCCATCATCATTTCACAGTAAATCCTTTGAGGGTCTTCCTATTTTATAATGGCTCTAAGTCTGATTAGTTTCCAGTCGGTGGTAGCAGTGCTCAGTGGTGCCACCAGCAGGGATTCCACAGCAGCGACTACTTCAAAGTAAGATTTCATTGCAGTTTGATTGTTGATTCTCAAGGAGCTGCAACATTTTATCGCCTTTCTGTTATAACTGTTTGAGGACCACAGTTTAAGCTTCTTCCTCTGGAAGCTTTCAGAATGTTTCTAAAACCAGATTTTCTTCAATTTACATTTATTTACGGAACTTGCTAGGATGTTTGAGGCAGAAGATAGTTTGAGAGGATGAGGATGAATTGAAAAGAATGTTCCAGTTAACTGAAGTTCAAAATCACATGGATTATCACTTACCTGAGGTGACTGAGAATGAAGATATTTGAGAAAAAGAGCAAAAATGAATATTCTGGTTATTTGAACAATATGATATGGATTACCACTTTTAAAATAATTAGAATAGTTTGATTCACATGAGATTACACTGAAGGTAACTTTGTCCTTGATGATTCAAAAGGCAGGATCTTGTAATAAACCAGATTCCGTAAAGAGTGATTCTTGTTATAGGGTTATAGAAGGGTTATAGTAATGGAAAAGTATAAATGATTGACATATTATAAATTTTTCTAGGTTGTATTTCTGACCATAAAAAAGTTATGGAAATTATTTTCCTTGCCATTTATCTCGTTCTCAACTACAGAGAAATATAAAATATATATATTCTTATATCTAACTTTCTCCTACAGTTTTCTTCTTTCTTGAATCTGGGTAAAATTAGGAGTTTATTATAAACAGTATCAGTGTTGGAAATTTTCCATGGAAATGACATAAAACTGCATATTTTCTGTCAAAGCAAAGATTAGGTGTTTGATAAAGCAAATCATAAGCATAAGAAGTATTTATTGCAAGGATAATATGATGTCATACAACTCTTTTTTATTTTTTATCTTATTTTTCCCTAAGTTATTGGGGTACAGGTCGTAGTTGGTTACGTGAGTAAGTGCTTTAGTGGTGATTTGTAAGATTTTGGTGCACTTACCACTCGAGCAGAATACACTGCTCCATATTTGTAGTCTTTTATCCCTCGCCCCTCTCCCACTCTTCCCCCCAAGGCCCCAAAGTCCATTGTAGCATGTTTATGCCTTTGTGAACTCATAGCTTAGTTCTCACATATCAGTGAGAACATATAATATTTGGTTTTCTATTCCTGGGTTACTTCACTTAGAATAATAGTCTCCAGTATCATCCAGGTCACTGCAAATGCTATTAATTCATTCCTTTTTATGGCTGAGTGGTATTCCATCATATATACATATATATCTCACAGTTTCTTTATCCACTCATTGATTGATGAGCATTTGAGTTGGTTCCACGATTTTTGCAATTGTGAATTGTGCTGCTGTAAACATGCATGTGCAAGTATCTTTTTCAAATAATGACTTCTTTTCCTCTGGGTAGATACCCAGTAGTGGGGTTGCTGCATCAAATGGTAGTTCTACTTTTAGTTCTTTAAGGAATATCCACACTGTTTTCCATAGTGGCTGTACTAGTTTACATTCCCACCAGCAGTGTAGAAATGTTCCAGTCATACAATTCTTAATGACACATGAAAACAGAGCACTAAAGTTATTTAGTCTGCAAAAGTGTCAAGTAAAATGCCATTTAGTGAGGTCTATGAAAGACTGGAATTGCTTCACATTTTAGGTGCCTAGTGACTATTTTCCTCTTTTAGACAGTGTTCTTTGCAACTATACCATGTACAGGATAGCAGAACATCTAAGATTTTTAAGGATTTTTTTTTCCCCATCTTACCTCTGCCTTTTATTTTTGGAATATATTGTAGGAGTCTCTCAAACAGAAAACATAATTTGCATTACATTTATAGAAGAAGGAGGAAATCCTCAATTAGGAGTCAAACTATGTGACACCAACAAGATAATGATGTCTCTTGTATCAATATTTATAATATGTTGAAATTTATTAAAAGAAATCTTCAAAGTGTTTTAAAAAATAATTGCTGCTGTCTGGTGGAGTTCACAACATTGTTTAGCCTTTGTGGGAATCAGAGAAAATTTACATTTTCCCCAAGTAGTTTCTTATATACAATTCCACAAAGCGGAATGGGAAGCTCTTTTATCATGAGTCATTTTCCAAGTTCAGAAGCATAATGAAGAGTGTCAAACAATGGAGATTTGCCACTTGTTGATAAGGTCAACGCACATGGCATTTTGTAGCACAGCAGCAATCAACCACCTCATGCTGGAATGTAGCCTGCTTCCCCTCACCAGCAAGAGGAGACTCACCCAAGCAGGCCAATCAAGTTTTGAGGCTTATTCTTCTGGGAGAACCTAGCAGGAACATTCCACAGGCAGCTCCTCATGCAGGACTTGTTCCAGATTGAAATAGCATCCATGTGAGTTTTTCCTAACTTTCAGAAAATGTTTATCCTCAAACTTAGTACGCTCATTTGTTCCAAGGTGAGTCTACTGGAACAATCAGAGTTTGATGTAAGTCTCTGGGAACACATCTATACATATAGTCTTTTCTACTTTACTGTGCCAGGGGAAAGTACTGATCTGGGAAATAAAGAAGCAATAGGAAATAAAGAGACAGGACTGTCAGGTGGACTTGGGTACATTTGGCACCCTAAAAATGGGGGGAAAATAAGGTGCCTGTGTTAGTTCTGGATTCCATGTTGTTGAGAGTCACCTTTGCAACAATTTTGTAAATCATACTGTGTATGTATGGGAATAAAGCTGTACATGTACAATGGGGGTATACCTTAGGAAGACTATTAGTGTTTCTAAAAACATGACAGAAGTCAAATGTTATTTATAATCAAATTACCCTTGAAAACACTGCAGTAACTCTGTTAGTCAATGATATTCTATTGGCTTTAATTAATTATTCAATTTATTTTTCAAATGTGGTGAAAAAAATCATCACTAGATAGTTGTCCAACCTTTTTATTTTTTGGTAGAGGCAGAAAAATCCTTAATATCAAATGATATTACTTTTTCCTTGTTTCAGCAACTCACATTGGCTATTTTAGGCTCACTTGCATCCATTTCTGTTTAAGTGACAAAACAGTGGTTGCCAAGTATATATTGTTGCGTATTTATATATTAAATCTACATGTATTAATACTATAGACCCTTAACGTTTGTAAATCATTTTTATTGATTTCAACTATTATTTGTCAACTCCATGGAGTCACAACACATGCTGACATAATTTTGCTGAGGCACCTCTTTTAACCACAGGGGACATAGCACTTTCAAATGAGTTCAACCCAACTCAGTGCTTGCTCTTATTTGTCACTGATTACCGAGTAGAGTAGTGTTCAAGAACTTGGAGACACTGAGAGTCTCCAGTCATAAACTATGCAAATGTCAAGGGTCATGTGTGTGCCCACAATGAGCATCGCTAAGACACGTTTTAAACAACTTCCATTTAAACATTATTAAAATGCCAATTGCATTCATGTGATTTCTACCATGAAATGATGTTAATCGGGAACATTTTAAAAATAAACCAAGATGAGTTTCAGCCAGTTTCTACATATCGTATAGCAACCATTTGAGCCAGAAAAAGATTAACTGCAGCATCTTTATAATATATTGGCATCATATATCCAATTAGTTGTTTCCTTCCCTTATTTCTTAGAAGATCAATAGACAAAAAGTGAGTCCTCTCAAAAGAATGGCTGTAAATTCCAAAGGTGCAATCAGTGGAGAAAGGGGTGAGACACTTCATTCGCAATCTGCAACCCCATGGAATACAGTTAGACATTTTCAGGCTATGGGAAGATGTTCCTGACAACAGAGGGGAGCTTGTGTACTTTTTCCTCTGTCCCTCTTGTTTATTTTTTCTGGTTCACCTAGTAGTAAGTCATTTTTCTTTCACAGCATCTGTCATGCCATCTGTCTCTGCTACAATATCTGGCAACGATGGTATGTTTTCCAGTCCTAGAAAAAAATCAGCCCCACATCCCATTTCTTCCTTCTTATGGGTCTGTGTTCCTCCCAGTAGAGTCACTGACAGTTTTTTATGCTCTATGAAGCTCATATCCTTAATTCTCTCACTTCCACAAATCCCTAATATGTATTTCAAAATCTTCTCTCGAGCTCATTAGACAAGAAAAAGTTCAGGCAATAGAGTCAGTCTGGACATGGATGGACAAAGAGCATTTGTGTGTCCAAGGACGTGTATGAGGAGTTTTTTGTTTGTTTGTTTGTTTGATTTTCTGTCATTCCCAAACACCAGGCTAATATCTCTACCTATACTATTCTCACGGCTCCAGGAAGAAGAGATTGAGCCTAACTGTGGTCATGAAAGGAGAGTGTAAGCCTGTACCCCTTGTAGACAAAAGCAAAAAGAGGGGACACACTAACTTGTTGATCTAAGAATCTGATTTTTAAATTAAATTAAATTTTAGTTAGTATTTGATTTTAAAAACACTTGGAATTGGGTCTTTACTTTTCACATAGAGCTTTTTGCCAAAACTGATTATTCTTATGGAATTCCTGAGTCATTAAATATTATTTCCATACTGATTACATGAGTTTCAGTTATTTATTTTTTCCTGCTAGCAGATCAGTGCAGACATAAAGCAGCCCATATGTCTTA